ATGATGTGTTAGTCTAGAGGAAGAGAGTCCGTGTCAATGTTAGAGGTAGGTGTACTTTGTGTATGAGTGTAGGGTGGACAATACAGTCACAGACAGGAATGATGTGTTAGTACAGAGGAAGAGAGTCAGTGTCAGTGTTAGAGGTAGGTTTACTTTGTGCATGATTGAGAGTGGACAAAACAGTCACAGACAGGAATGATGTGTTAGTACAGTGGAAGAGAGTCCGTGTCAATGTTAGAGGTAGGTGTACTTTGTGTATGAGTGCAGATTGGACAACACACTGACAGACAGGAATGATATGTTAGTACAGAGGAATAGAGTCAGTGTCGAAGTTAGAGGTAGGTTTACTTTGTGCATGAGTGTAAAGTGGACAACACACTGCCAGACAGGAATGATGTGTTAGTCTAAAGGAAGAGAGTCAGTGTCAAAGTTAGACTTAGGCGTACTTTGTGTATAAGTGTAGGGTGGACAACACAGTCACAGACAGGAATGATGTGTTAGTACAGAGGAAGAGAGTCAGTATCAATGTTAGAGGTAGGTGTACTTTGTGTATGTGTGTAGAATGGACACCACAGTCACAGACAGGAATGATGTGTTAGTACAGAGGAAGAGAGTCCGTGTCAATGTTAGAGGTAGGTGTACTTTGTGTATGAGTGCAGATTGGACAACACAGCCACAGACATGAATGATGTGTTAGTACAGAGGAAGAGAGTCAGTGTCGAAATTAGAGGTAGGTTTACTTTGTGCATGAGTGTAAAGTGGACAACACACTGCCAGACAGGAATGATGTGTTAGTCTAGAGGAAGAGAGTCAGTGTCAATGTTAGACTTAGGCGAACTTTGTGTATGAGTGTAGGGTGGAATATACAGACACATACAGGAATGATATGTTAGTACAGAGGAAGAGAGTCAGTGTCAAAGTTAGAGGTAGGTGTACTTTGTGTATGAGTGTAGAGTGGACAACACAGTCACAGACAGGAATGATGTGTCAGTACAGAGGAAGAGAGTCAGTGTCAATGTTAGAGGTAGGTGTACTTTGTGTATGAGTGCAGATTGGACAACACAGCCACAGACATGAATGATGTGTTAGTACAGAGGAAGAGGGTCAGTGTCAATGTTAGAGGTAGGTGTACTTTGTGTATGAGTGCAGATTGGACAACACAGCCACAGACATGAATGATGTGTTAGTACAGAGGAAGAGGGTCAGTGTCAATGTTAGAGGTAGGCGTACTTTGTGTATGAGTGCAGATTGGACAACACAGCCACAGACATGAATGATGTGTTAGTACAGAGGAAGAGGGTCAGTGTCAATGTTAGAGGTAGGTGTACTTTGTGTATGAGTGCAGATTGGACAACACAGCCACAGACATGAATGATGTGTTAGTACAGAGGAAGAGGGTCAGTGTCAATGTTAGAGGTAGGCGTACTTTGTGTATGAGTGTGGACAACACACTGACAGACAGGAATGATGTGTTAGTACAGAGGAAGAGATTCAGTGTCGAAGTTAGAGGTAGGTTTACTTTGTTCATGAGTGTAAAGTGGACAACACACTGCCAGACAGGAATGATGTGTTAGTCTAGAGGAAGAGAGTCCGTGTCAATGTTAGAGGTAGGTGTACTTTGTGTATGAGTGTAGGGTGGACAATACAGTCACAGACAGGAATGATGTGTTAGTACAGAGGAAGAGAGTCAGTGTCAGTGTTAGAGGTAGGTTTACTTTGTGCATGATTGAGAGTGGACAAAACAGTCACAGACAGGAATGATGTGTTAGTACAGTGGAAGAGAGTCCGTGTCAATGTTAGAGGTAGGTGTACTTTGTGTATGAGTGCAGATTGGACAACACACTGACAGACAGGAATGATATGTTAGTACAGAGGAATAGAGTCAGTGTCGAAGTTAGAGGTAGGTTTACTTTGTGCATGAGTGTAGAGTGGACAACACACTGACAGACAGGAATGATGTGTTAGTCTAAAGGAAGAGAGTCAGTGTCAAAGTTAGACTTAGGCGTACTTTGTGTATAAGTGTAGGGTGGACAACACAGTCACAGACAGGAATGATGTGTTAGTACAGAGGAAGAGAGTCAGTGTCAATGTTAGAGGTAGGTGTACTTTGTGTATGTGTGTAGAATGGACACCACAGTCACAGACAGGAATGATGTGTTAGTACAGAGGAAGAGAGTCCGTGTCAATGTTAGAGGTAGGTGTACTTTGTGTATGAGTGCAGATTGGACAACACAGCCACAGACATGAATGATGTGTTAGTACAGAGGAAGAGAGTCAGTGTCGAAATTAGAGGTAGGTTTACTTTGTGCATGAGTGTAAAGTGGACAACACACTGCCAGACAGGAATGATGTGTTAGTCTAGAGGAAGAGAGTCAGTGTCAATGTTAGACTTAGGCGAACTTTGTGTATGAGTGTAGGGTGGAATATACAGACACATACAGGAATGATATGTTAGTACAGAGGAAGAGAGTCAGTGTCAAAGTTAGAGGTAGGTGTACTTTGTGTATGAGTGTAGAGTGGACAACACAGTCACAGACAGGAATGATGTGTCAGTACAGAGGAAGAGAGTCAGTGTCAATGTTAGAGGTAGGTGTACTTTGTGTATGAGTGCAGATTGGACAACACAGCCACAGACATGAATGATGTGTTAGTACAGAGGAAGAGGGTCAGTGTCAATGTTAGAGGTAGGTGTACTTTGTGTATGAGTGCAGATTGGACAACACAGCCACAGACATGAATGATGTGTTAGTACAGAGGAAGAGGGTCAGTGTCAATGTTAGAGGTAGGTGTACTTTGTGTATGAGTGCAGATTGGACAACACAGCCACAGACATGAATGATGTGTTAGTACAGAGGAAGAGGGTCAGTGTCAATGTTAGAGGTAGGCGTACTTTGTGTATGAGTGTGGACAACACACTGACAGACAGGAATGATGTGTTAGTACAGAGGAAGAGATTCAGTGTCGAAGTTAGAGGTAGGTTTACTTTGTTCTTGAGTGTAAAGTGGACAACACACTGCCAGACAGGAATGATGTGTTAGTCTAGAGGAAGAGAGTCCGTGTCAATGTTAGAGGTAGGTGTACTTTGTGTATGAGTGTAGGGTGGACAATACAGTCACAGACAGGAATGATGTGTTAGTACAGAGGAAGAGAGTCAGTGTCAGTGTTAGAGGTAGGTTTACTTTGTGCATGATTGAGAGTGGACAAAACAGTCACAGACAGGAATGATGTGTTAGTACAGTGGAAGAGAGTCCGTGTGAATGTTAGAGGTAGGTGTACTTTGTGTATGAGTGCAGATTGGACAACACACTGACAGACAGGAATGATATGTTAGTACAGAGGAATAGAGTCAGTGTCGAAGTTAGAGGTAGGTTTACTTTGTGCATGAGTGTAGAGTGGACAACACACTGACAGACAGGAATGATGTGTTAGTCTAAAGGAAGAGAGTCAGTGTCAAAGTTAGACTTAGGCGTACTTTGTGTATAAGTGTAGGGTGGACAACACAGTCACAGACAGGAATGATGTGTTAGTACAGAGGAAGAGAGTCAGTGTCAATGTTAGAGGTAGGTGTACTTTGTGTATGTGTGTAGAATGGACACCACAGTCACAGACAGGAATGATGTGTTAGTACAGAGGAAGAGAGTCCGTGTCAATGTTAGAGGTAGGTGTACTTTGTGTATGAGTGCAGATTGGACAACACAGCCACAGACATGAATGATGTGTTAGTACAGAGGAAGAGAGTCAGTGTCGAAATTAGAGGTAGGTTTACTTTGTGCATGAGTGTAAAGTGGACAACACACTGCCAGACAGGAATGATGTGTTAGTCTAGAGGAAGAGAGTCAGTGTCAATGTTAGACTTAGGCGAACTTTGTGTATGAGTGTAGGGTGGAATATACAGACACATACAGGAATGATATGTTAGTACAGAGGAAGAGAGTCAGTGTCAAAGTTAGAGGTAGGTGTACTTTGTGTATGAGTGTAGAGTGGACAACACAGTCACAGACAGGAATGATGTGTCAGTACAGAGGAAGAGAGTCAGTGTCAATGTTAGAGGTAGGTGTACTTTGTGTATGAGTGCAGATTGGACAACACAGCCACAGACATGAATGATGTGTTAGTACAGAGGAAGAGGGTCAGTGTCAATGTTAGAGGTAGGTGTACTTTGTGTATGAGTGCAGATTGGACAACACAGCCACAGACATGAATGATGTGTTAGTACAGAGGAAGAGGGTCAGTGTCAATGTTAGAGGTAGGCGTACTTTGTGTATGAGTGCAGATTGGACAACACAGCCACAGACATGAATGATGTGTTAGTACAGAGGAAGAGGGTCAGTGTCAATGTTAGAGGTAGGTGTACTTTGTGTATGAGTGCAGATTGGACAACACAGCCACAGACATGAATGATGTGTTAGTACAGAGGAAGAGGGTCAGTGTCAATGTTAGAGGTAGGCGTACTTTGTGTATGAGTGTGGACAACACACTGACAGACAGGAATGATGTGTTAGTACAGAGGAAGAGATTCAGTGTCGAAGTTAGAGGTAGGTTTACTTTGTTCTTGAGTGTAAAGTGGACAACACACTGCCAGACAGGAATGATGTGTTAGTCTAGAGGAAGAGAGTCCGTGTCAATGTTAGAGGTAGGTGTACTTTGTGTATGAGTGCAGATTGGACAACACAGCCACAGACATGAATGATGTGTTAGTACAGAGGAAGAGGGTCAGTGTCAATGTTAGAGGTAGGTGTACTTTGTGTATGAGTGCAGATTGGACAACACAGCCACAGACATGAATGATGTGTTAGTACAGAGGAAGAGGGTCAGTGTCAATGTTAGAGGTAGGCGTACTTTGTGTATGAGTGTGGACAACACACTGACAGACAGGAATGATGTGTTAGTACAGAGGAAGAGATTCAGTGTCGAAGTTAGAGGTAGGTTTACTTTGTTCTTGAGTGTAAAGTGGACAACACACTGCCAGACAGGAATGATGTGTTAGTCTAGAGGAAGAGAGTCCGTGTCAATGTTAGAGGTAGGTGTACTTTGTGTATGAGTGTAGGGTGGACAATACAGTCACAGACAGGAATGATGTGTTAGTACAGAGGAAGAGAGTCAGTGTCAGTGTTAGAGGTAGGTTTACTTTGTGCATGATTGAGAGTGGACAAAACAGTCACAGACAGGAATGATGTGTTAGTACAGTGGAAGAGAGTCCGTGTCAATGTTAGAGGTAGGTGTACTTTGTGTATGAGTGCAGATTGGACAACACACTGACAGACAGGAATGATATGTTAGTACAGAGGAATAGAGTCAGTGTCGAAGTTAGAGGTAGGTTTACTTTGTGCATGAGTGTAAAGTGGACAACACACTGACAGACAGGAATGATGTGTTAGTCTAAAGGAAGAGAGTCAGTGTCAATGTTAGACTTAGGCGTACTTTGTGTATAAGTGTAGGGTGGACAACACAGTCACAGACAGGAATGATGTGTTAGTACAGAGGAAGAGAGTCAGTGTCAATGTTAGAGGTAGGTGTACTTTGTGTATGTGTGTAGAATGGACACCACAGTCACAGACAGGAATGATCTGTTAGTACAGAGGAAGAGTGTCCGTGTCAATGTTAGAGGTAGGTGTACTTTGTGTATGAGTGCAGATTGGACAACACAGCCACAGACATGAATGATGTGTTAGTACAGAGGAAGAGAGTCAGTGTCGAAATTAGAGGTAGGTTTACTTTGTGCATGAGTGTAAAGTGGACAACACACTGCCAGACAGGAATGATGTGTTAGTCTAGAGGAAGAGAGTCAGTGTCAATGTTAGACTTAGGCGAACTTTGTGTATGAGTGTAGGGTGGAATATACAGACACATACAGGAATGATATGTTAGTACAGAGGAAGAGAGTCAGTGTCAAAGTTAGAGGTAGGTGTACTTTGTGTATGAGTGTAGAGTGGACAACACAGTCACAGACAGGAATGATGTGTCAGTACAGAGGAAGAGAGTCAGTGTCAATGTTAGAGGTAGGTGTACTTTGTGTATGAGTGCAGATTGGACAACACAGCCACAGACATGAATGATGTGTTAGTACAGAGGAAGAGGGTCAGTGTCAATGTTAGAGGTAGGTGTACTTTGTGTATGAGTGCAGATTGGACAACACAGCCACAGACATGAATGATGTGTTAGTACAGAGGAAGAGGGTCAGTGTCAATGTTAGAGGTAGGCGTACTTTGTGTATGAGTGCAGATTGGACAACACAGCCACAGACATGAATGATGTGTTAGTACAGAGGAAGAGGGTCAGTGTCAATGTTAGAGGTAGGTGTACTTTGTGTATGAGTGCAGATTGGACAACACAGCCACAGACATGAATGATGTGTTAGTACAGAGGAAGAGGGTCAGTGTCAATGTTAGAGGTAGGCGTACTTTGTGTATGAGTGTGGACAACACACTGACAGACAGGAATGATGTGTTAGTACAGAGGAAGAGATTCAGTGTCGAAGTTAGAGGTAGGTTTACTTTGTTCTTGAGTGTAAAGTGGACAACACACTGCCAGACAGGAATGATGTGTTAGTCTAGAGGAAGAGAGTCCGTGTCAATGTTAGAGGTAGGTGTACTTTGTGTATGAGTGTAGGGTGGACAATACAGTCACAGACAGGAATGATGTGTTAGTACAGAGGAAGAGAGTCAGTGTCAATGTTAGAGGTAGGTTTACTTTGTGCATGATTGAGAGTGGACAAAACAGTCACAGACAGGAATGATGTGTTAGTACAGTGGAAGAGAGTCCGTGTCAATGTTAGAGGTAGGTGTACTTTGTGTATGAGTGCAGATTGGACAACACACTGACAGACAGGAATGATATGTTAGTACAGAGGAATAGAGTCAGTGTCGAAGTTAGAGGTAGGTTTACTTTGTGCATGAGTGTAAAGTGGACAACACACTGACAGACAGGAATGATGTGTTAGTCTAAAGGAAGAGAGTCAGTGTCAATGTTAGACTTAGGCGTACTTTGTGTATAAGTGTAGGGTGGACAACACAGTCACAGACAGGAATGATGTGTTAGTACAGAGGAAGAGAGTCAGTGTCAATGTTAGAGGTAGGTGTACTTTGTGTATGTGTGTAGAATGGACACCACAGTCACAGACAGGAATGATCTGTTAGTACAGAGGAAGAGTGTCAGTGTCAATGTTAGAGGTAGGTGTACTTTATGTATGAGTGTAGAGTGGACAACACACTAACAGACAGGAATGATATGTTAGTACCGAGGAATAGAGTCAGTGTCGAAGTTAGAGGTAGGTTTACTTGTGCATGAGTGTAAAGTTGACAATACAGTCACATACAGGAATGATATGTTAGTACAGAGGAAGAAAGTTAGTGTCAAAGTTAAAGGAAGGTTCACTTTGTGTATGATTGTAGAGTGGACAACACACTGACAGACAGGAATGATATGTTAGTACAGAGGAAGAGAGTCAGTGTCAATGTTAGAGGTAGGTGTACTTTGTGTATGAGTGTAGGGTGGACAACACAGTCACAGACATGAATGATGTGTTAGTACAGAGGAAGAGAGTCAGTGTCAATGTTAGAGGTAGGTTTACTTTGTGTATGAGTGTAGAGTGGACAATACAGTCACAGACAGGAATGATCTGTTAGTACAGAGGAAGAAAGTCCGTGTCAATGTTAGAGGTAGGCGTACTTTGTGTATGAGTGTAGAGTGGACAACACACTTACAGACAGGAATGATATGTTAGTACAGAGGAATAGAGTCAGTGTCGAAGTTAGAGGTAGGTTTACTTGTGCATGAGTGTAAAGTGGACAATACAGTCACATACAGGAATGATATGTTAGTACAGAGGAAGAAAGTTAGTGTCAAAGTTAAAGGAAGGTGTACTTTGTGTATGATTGTAGAGTGAACAACACACTGACAGACAGGAATGATATGTTAGTACAGAGGAAGAGAGTCAGTGTAAATGTTAGAGGTAGGTTTACTTTGTGTATGAGTGTAGAGTGGACAACACACTGACAGACAGGAATGATATGTTAGTACAGAGGAAGAGAGTCCGTGTCAATGTTAGAGGTAGGTTTACTTTGTGTATGAGTGTAGAGTGGACAACACACTGACAGACAGGAATGATATGTTAGTACAGAGGAAGAGAGTCCGTGTCAATGTTAGAGGTAGGTGTGCTTTGTGTATGTGTGTAGAGTGGACAACACAGTCACAGACATGAATGATGTCTTAGTACAGAGTAAGAGAGTCAGTGTCAATGTTAGAGGTAGGTGTACTTTGTGTATGGGTGTAGAGTGGACAACACAGTCACAGGCAGGACTGAAGTGTTAGTACAGAGGAAGAGAGTCTGTGTCAGTGTTAGAGGTATGTTTGAACTATATTGGCTACTGTCACTCTCCGACTGACACATCACTTACCCTGTGATGTAATAAATATTAATGCGCGCATTGCAGGAAAACTTGCAATGTTTCGGTAATGTTTGTGAGAGATTGAAAGCGATTTTCAAGCACAGAATTGAATGTGTTTGGGGATTGGGATTGAAAATATCCTGTATCCTAAGATCGCTAAATACAATGTTTATTCCTAATACAGGATATTTACCATCCCCAAACACAGAAGCATGATAACCTCTATGTATTTTTTCGAGGCTTCATTGTTTTCCTGTTCCAGCACGTCCAAAGTTCACTGATGATTCTGAACAAAGATTCGGTGCTGAAGTAGGAACAAACACAACAGTGGTCCAGAGTTTCTACAACAGTGACCTGAATTACACATCCTATAACTGGACATTTGGACAGCTGGACACCCCCGTCAACAGGTCAGGCTCAGTCAGGTCAAGTAAGGTGACACTGCGGAAGAACAACAAGGAGGTGCAGCATGCTGGCTTCAGTGTGTCTCTGGAGATCCAGAACTTCCAGGAACAGGACATCGGGGTCTACACAGTCACTGTGTGTAATGTAGTGGGCTGTAATTCATCAGAGGTCAACTTGGCAGCATCAGGTAGAAACTGTATTGTTTATGCAGTGAATGAGTGCGTATGGTTTTATGCCTCTTTCAGAAATATTCCAGCAACATCTCGACACCAGAAATGGACCTCTCACATTGGACCCATGTGAGGAATCGAACCCGGATCTTCGGTGTAACAAATGCAGTATTGTTCAAGTGAACACAAACACGTATAATGCTTAGGTAACCTAGTTGGTTGTAAATGATCGGAGGTTTACTTGACAGTAGGAGGTAATTCCATTGTATGCTATAAACTCAAATTAAAGACTAATGTTTTTACTCTCATACAATTTGATTCGTTTTTTTTACATAAATCCACACAAAACTTTGTTGACATTTTTGAAAAAAAGTTCTTTTTATACACAATCGGAATTTTCCAAAGGAAAAGAACAACATGAAGGACATTAAGTTCCAGAAGAATGAGTTGTTAAATCAAACATTATGTTCGAAACTGGGATATACGAGTTAAAACTGATATGTCTACGTAAAACTCATTTTCCCATTACAATTCAACTGCTGTCCTCTAACTAGATATCACACTATAGTCTATTGATTTTCGTTAGTGCAAAACGTCCAAACAAAATCCTTTCCATATCCAATAAAAATGTATGCTTAAAGAAGAGTCGATTGTACGATTCCGACTATAACATGAGCGTGTAAATTGTTTGCTTTTGTTTGAACCTTGCAATTGGTTTCATCAGTGGTATGCAAATGACTTTATTTTAATTAATCAACGTATTTATTTGACCTTCAGGGTGTGAGGGAATAGAAGCAATGGAACAGAGGTTGCAATTGTATGCTGTTTGGATCCTAGCACGGATAGTATGCAGGTTGTATATTATGGCGATGACATTGCTGTGATTGTGCCTGTTGAAATATTCTGATGCTGATCGAACTGTGGACGTAGGCATATGTACACAAATGCTTGTGTTTTCACGCATAGAACACAACAATTCATACGCTGTACGTTTCCATCTTTGCCGCTAGTATATTGTTTAATGACATTTATTATTTCTTTACCCAGGACCTCCGTTGGTCCCCCTGGAGTTTAAGGCTGTCAACACCACACTGAACAGCATCCTGCTTAGATGGAAGTCTAACTACCCTGGGGGAGATTACACACAGAAATTCCTCCTGTACTACAGAGTGGAGACGCCAGGGGATTGGGAGACGCAGGAGTTTGAGGACAACCCCGGGGGATACGTATACGCTGACGTCGCAGGCCTCCAGTCAGGAACTCGGTATGAGTTCAAGGTGATGGCCAGGAATACCAGGGAGGAGAACAGCGAGGGGCCCTTCACACAGGTCGAGTCACAGGAAACAAAAAGTAAATATGATATATTAAACATATTAGTTTATGAAGACTTGAAAATGTTTTACATGACTTTACACACTCAGAGTAGTGTTTGTTATTCTAGTCAGGTTTGTCAGTAACACTATCTAAATGTAACTTGCAATGTAATGGAAAAATTGACATATGTGTTTATATTTATCTATCACCAGGAAATCCAGACAATTCTGGTGTGTCTGCGTCATCAATTGGAATTGGCCTTGGTGTAGGGCTGGGGATATGCATCATTGTTATCATAGCAGCACTCCTCTATCTTAGAAGACGTCACCTATTGTCAACACATGATCAAGGTAATGTGAACGTCGATGTTGGTTTTTCTGCAGTTCTCCGATCTATTCTTTCAGTGAAACATTATCAGGCAAAGAAACTATACCTGTGTTTCTTGCACGCCTGAAGGAAGCGAATCTGCGCAGGGAATTGTGGAGCCGTAGATAATTATGCCACACATTGCAGCCATCAATCATCAAGTTTTTATGACAAAGAGAAAGCAACCTCCTTAAGCCACGACGCGGTTGTGCAACTTGTGCGCCTCTGCATAACTGAACTAGTAGCACTTGAAACGTATATCAGTCATAGGCAGGTGTGATCTCACTGTCAACTATTCATATGATTAAACATTTTATAATCATCCAAAACTATGCACTTACAACTACCAGTCTATTTAAACAGGTCACTATGTAAAGTGTATTGATGTTCATCGAGGAATGTTTCCTGGTGACTTTAGCCATGATATTTATGGTTTGTATTATTCACTACAGGTACACCTGCTGCTCAGATTCAAGACAGGTAAGTTGTGCCTTTCAAATTTTTTTTGTCTTTACAGAAACGCAAAAATGCACTCAGAAAACATTGTATCGATGCAAGTTATTTATGTAATGCTTAATAATCAAGTTAACAAGCACAATCAATTGTTAGATGAAAAGGTTTTGTTTGTATTCTCTTTATTTTCTCTTCAGAGACATTCGGGAGCAACCAAATGGCAACACTCAGAACTCAGGTAAGAACATTATTTTGATATTTTCATGAATGTTTTGCACTAAGCAGCAACACAGGTAGGACAGGATTTAGATTCAATTCAGAATTCTCGAAACAAGCACCCAGAAGATCAAAATGAATTCATGTTTATGTCCTTTCTACCAGGATACTAATGACGTTGCTGTTTTGTCTCATTGAAGAACATCCTGCTGTGTGACGCCAGAACATAACTGTTTGAGGTTAACAGAATCAAACAGCTCCATAACATATCATTTAGATAGGAAGTCAGGAAAGTACATATACAACATTTATTGATAGATTATTAATAAATCTGGGCTGTCTTAAATATTGTGATAGTGACCAATGTTGCGTCATAGTCCCACAGGGATTGTATTCATTGGCCAGCATCAGTCTTTAAACTTTTTTTCAATCAAAATAATGTCACGTGCTTTATATTGTTCATTCTACTGTCTCGTGGTCACCTTTATTTACAATGCATTTCATAACTAAATATACGTTCCATGACTTATGAGAGTTTAGTGTTGAATCATATACGTTGGGTGTAACATTGTTGTAGCTACGTTCATATATTGAAGATGTATAGATGAAATTCACATCCACACCATCCCACATGCCGGTAAGGTGTTCTATACATTTTATATTCTTTTACAACAATAGTTCGATATAATGTCACCTGTTTTGTTTAATCTTTTTATTTCACCAGCGGCGATTACCTGTATGAATAGAGTAAACAATTATATGTCCGCTTCACAAGAAAGGATCTGTTAATGAGGTGCAGAACAGAGACATTTCACTGCATTTTTTACTAAAATCCTAAATGAAAGATTACAGAAATAAGCAAATGATAACAACAGTATATATGAAAATTAAACAGGGTTTCGAAAGGGCTACGCCACTGTAGACACTATAGCAGTAACAGAAATGACAGAATCGGAAGCTAATGGGATATTCATTTCTGAAGATGCGCCAAATATTTTTCACTTTATATGAATACTTTTTAATGCAGATGACTTAAACTATCTTCAACATCAAATTGACTGTTTTGGGTAATTTTTGTGACTGATGGGGACTTTCTTTAACATTGATAAGCATCAGGCTGTTTTGTTGTGGAAGATATTTACGAAATTATAAACAAGTGGTTCTATAAAGGAATACAGATTAGGGTTGTCTCTCATTAAAAATATCTTGGAGGTATGTTTACACCCTAAGCTGCATGGACAAGCGCAACCTCAACACTATAAGAACAAGCAGAGAAAGAATGCCAAATTATCTTTAAATTTCATAATCTATGTATTGGACTGGAAATATATAGCCCGTCAAGATTATTTTATACGATGGTGTTTCCTACCTTAACCTACGATGGATAAATATGGGTATTTGAAAGCAAAGAACAGATTGAACGAATCCAAACTAAGTATTTCATGAGAATTTTGTATTTACCCAAAATGCTAATAATGCTGCTGTTCTTGTGGATTGTGGCAGAAACACTTTATACATGTGATATCTTTCAAAATGTATCAATTTTTGGACTACGCTGATCTTCACAGATAACAAAAGACTTCCTAACATACCGAATGTTATATGGACTTGATATTGTAAACAGAACATCATGGATCACCTACATTAAGGACATTTTATTTAAATATGGACTTGGTTATGCCTGGATTATGGGGCCCAGTCATCTAAGGCACCGCGATTCGCTTTGCAGAGTTGCGCCCCATGGGCATGCCAGAAACCTATGATTGTGGGTTCGAAATCCCAGTTCGCCCCGATTATGTTTCTAGGTTTATCAGCACCATACCCATGCGCGTGGGTTTCACCGAAGTGGTAAACGTCTGAAACCTGCATCACATCGGGCTTCCCTCCCATATTAAGCTGACACGCCATGATATAACTGGAATACTGTTAAAAGCTATGCTCGGATTCCTCAAGGCGGTGGAGACAAATGTATATTTTTGTATTATTGAGCCTAGCCGTAGATCTGCTGTTGATAAAGAATGTCGGTTACGTACAAATTGTTCTAGATTTGGTTATGACTATGTTGAAAATGAGTATCATTTCATTCTTGTATGTTTTTTTTGTGTCGATTTAAGGAAAGGATTTATTCACCATCGATTTTATAATAATCCATCCTTGGAATAATTTATAAATCTTATGAATACCAAATGTCAAACTACAAAAACTGTATCTAAACATTCACGTTTTTAAGTTATACCCGTCAGTACGGATGTGATACATGTATGTATTTTCTGAGATGCATAACGAAACATATATAATGCAATGTTATGTCCTATAGGCCATTGATCTTTGACGCAAAATACAATTTCATGTTGTATTATGATTGAAACATTGCAGATATCCAGGATCTTAGTCTGTATGCCAGGTTTGAGGAGTGCGCCACCCAGCCATATTCCCAGTTGAAGATCTACGAAAACACTAAAAGTGAGTTAATGGCTTAGAGGAAGAATCAGGGGACCTGACAAGTGACAAGAAGCATGGACGAGTCCAATCATTTCTAAACTGGATGTAAAATATACATTTGTTGGAGACTAATATTGTCTTTGAATACAAATTAGCTGACAGAGGTGAAATCATACACATGCAGTCGAATAGTCCATGTCAGCTATTGCAGAAGAATTTAATGTTTGTTCTGCCAACCAACACGTGTTACAGACCTCACTACCACCTAGTTTTACATGTCAATTGGTGGACATGTGTTCCACACGAGATAACTGTGCAATCGCCCTGAATGTTTGCAATAGCTAATTTGATCAATTGTATGGCCTTTATTTAGTCTTCATGTTACAAAGGTCGCGTGTCACATGAGCCGGAGTATGAAAATCTACATGAGCGATCACCAACCACCTACGAAGCTGTGGAGTTACATACGTATGAA